GAAAGCTACCCAGCAGCCAGCCTCCGGAAGACCAAATTTAGTCGGAATCAGAGAAGCAGGTCAAAGTTCGCGCGTCCAGCACGGGTATAATACGTGGAAGACGGCAAGACTAGCTCACTCAAGACCACCAGATGAAGTAACTATAATACTCTGACGATGGGAGCGAGAAGGGTTTCGAAAAGTCCGTTAAAATATGAGCTGGTCCATGAATCCGCCCCCCTTATTCTTCCTCTTCTTTCGGAGACGATGAACGTGATATGTATATGTACATTCTTCATGCTCCTGTTGCTGTTCGTTAGCTTCTCGCTGTTTACGCTTAGCTTAAAGTTGCAAACATTTGGAATGTTCAGAGCAAAAATGCGGGATAACTTATAACGGTAGGGATTCCTTTTGCGGCCGCCTGGTGAACATGTGAAGTGCGCCCCTCAGGCTGACGGGCACCTAATTTTAGGGGACCAAACGGACGGGACATGTTATGGGACAAACTAGATCGCAATATTCCTGTAAAATAAAAAAAATGTTACGAGGACAAGTTCGGTCGCGTAATCAAACCTCGGCGAGGATAATGAAATAGGCTTTGATATCATCGCTTACCCCCCGCCCGACCAACGGCGAGCGCGTGTATGTCGGGGAGTGTGCCCTAAGGTCGGGCGAGGTCATTGATGTGCATCTTCTAGAAGAACCACTAACCCCAAATAAAAAAGAGGGTGAACGAGTAAAGATTGAAGACTGTGGAATTCATCCTATTTAAAATTTGCAAGCAAGCTATTATTCCCGTAGTTAATATGAAACACCATTTTGCTTAATATGCTGACTTAGGTGGTTATGGTATGCGGTGACCTTCAGAGGATCCCTCTGCAGTTCAGTGCCATCATCAAATCCCTACTGGATCGACGGCCGGCGTCTAGAAAACTGGATGATTGTGGGTAATTCAACCTACTTAACATTTGAAAGTAGGTGTTTGTGATACATAAGGTCCTTTCGAGAACACCACATGGTAACCCTACCCTTATAACGATCATGACTACTCCATTTG